GCGTTGGAGGAACGCGCGGTCTTCGCACGAACCCTGCGGGCAAAGGTCTCGGATTGCAGGGCAGTTAACTTGGGGAGCCTAATTTCTACACCCCATGATGAAGGAGAATAGAAGCCTCAGTTCATACACCAAACCTAATCTAATTCATGTGCATTTTCACACGGGGGGGGTTCCCCCCACCCCCACCCCCCGCCCCCCCCCCCCCCACCCCGCCCCCCCCCCCCCCCGCCCCCCCCCCACCCCCCCCGCCCCCCCCCCCCCCCCCCCACCCCACCCCCGCCCCCACCCCCCCGCCCCCCCCCCCAAAGCGTCCTTGTTATAGCAACCCCAAAGAGGGTACCCAAACCTGCTTGCGCCGGTATTTAGGGTTTGGGAGATCGGGCTTTGGGGGGTTTCGGTCTTTATCGGCAATCTGCGAGAGTCCTGGATGCAAAAACGGTCAACAAGACAAAACGCCTAAACTTCCCTCTCCCTGACTTGTCAGTATTCAGGTCCGGCTTTGAAAGGCAGGGTTTACTTGAAGGTTCATGGGTAGTTCGGGTTATAACCAGTTTTATGTAGAGTTGCCCTCCTTCTAACCCCCCTTATAACTACCCATGAACCTCCCAGTTGGGTGACAGATTGCCCAGCAAGGGGGCCAAGACAACCTACAACTAGCGAGAGTGTTGGTATAGAGTTTCAGCCTCCGAGGCCCGTGGCACCCACTCGGACCAGTTTCCAAGCGGCCCTTGATAGTGAACCGCTCTAGGCATCAGGGTTTCAGACGCCGGGGCCTTCGTTTTCAGTGGACCTGCTTAGGGGAACACGACTGCACAAATGGGTTTTGGGTTTAACTAAATTAAGGTTCAGGGTTTAGTGGAGCACGGGGGCTGGCGAACCGAGAACGGGATCATATGTAAGATGTTATTGTCGGCCCACAGACACTAGTTCGTGGTGCAATGCTGCAAGCTCCCAGGAAGTTTGCCCCTGGCGACTGGCTTGGAATAGAGCCGCTGCCTTACACCTCAAAGTTCTTTGCACCATTCGCTGTGTTCTTTCACAGGTGGAAATCGGTTGCAATCCCAAGACATGGGACATGAAGTCTGGCAAACTCACACACATGTGGCGTTGAGTCTGTGGGTCAGCAGACTCACCGTATGAGGTCGCGCAGTTTAGGACTGATGTTTTGCCGCCAAATCAACTTGTTTCGAGCTTGCGGATCAAGACTCCGTGCTATCCCCCGTATTTGCTGAGTTTCGAAGCCGTAGCTCTGCAGCCCCTTAAGCATGATTTTTGTTATCTTTACTTAAACTTACGTAAAACCCAAAAGGAAAACATGACGGGTGTTAGGGGGAGTGCTCCAAAACTTGATGGCAAAGGCTGGAGAAGAAGGCCGGCAAGAACAACGGCAGCGTCAAGGGCGAAGTGTACTTTGTGCGTGGGCCTGAGCGGTTTAGGGTTTAGGGTTTAGGGTTTAGGGTTTAGGGTTTAGGGTTTAGGGTTTAGGGTTTAGGGGTCTCACAAGGGCAGAGGGCAGAATATGGCTTGTACTTTGGGATGTTCCCCTTGTACTAACAGTCCTTCATAGGGATTATAATCGTACCCCAATTGGAATCCCCATGAAGGACTGATAGTATAAGAGGGAACATCCAAAGTTGTACTTTGTTACCCGAGTCCTGAGCCTGGTTTAGGTGCAGCTGCGCGGGAGGGAAAACACCCCGAACCCGACAGAAACCCTATCCCCTTAAGTGATTGGCAGCATCACGTCGTGGCTCTCACAGTAGAATCGGATTTCCCCTGCCTTCACCTCTGAGATCCATTTTTGGTGGGAGAGGGGCGTGTCACTGTCAGTGGGGCTCGACTAATTAAATAAATGGCAGCCCAGACCCTGCAAGACTTGTATCATACATCCATCAAAACAGTACGGTTACGGCTTTTGGGTGTTCTGTGGGGGCAGGTGCGAGCCAGAGCACGGCATCTTCGTTCGCCCTACTGCAGTCATGACCAAGAAAGGCTGGCGGGCGGGTGGGTTCGGAGGATTTGAACTTTGAGCCGTTAAACTTAGTGTGTGTGCTGGGGTCCTGGGTATTTCTTTTGTACCCCTGAAGGCCTTGGGGGGGCTGAAGATGCGCCGCATGTGTCACGTCAGTTTCGGCGCGATTAGCCGGGCCCTTCGCGAAGGCGGCACTCCAACGTCACCTTCAGCCGCAAGTCCCAAACTGGAGGCATCGTTCTGGGATGACACAGAGGCATGTGTAATGGGTATGTTGGGCGTTCCATAGCAGACAAGGAAATGAATTGGTGGCTATCAGGGCTCTTGTATGAGCATCTGTGGGGGCTTGCCCACATGGCCCTCAGTCTGTCTCATTATTCAATATTCTTGAATGCAGCTCGAGCACGTTGCAAGTAAAATTCAAGTTGTCTGGTGCTATCAGAAAGGAATGAATTCTGCAGCAGGGGGCCTGGGCAGAGAATTGATGCGGTTTGATTTGTATTGTTTCGAATCTCTGAAGCCGAGCTGTGGGCTTCTGCTCGGCTCAAACGGCGAGAGTGAGAGAGTTCAACGTCTCTGTCTCCTCGGTTAAGGCTGACAAAAAGCGTGCAGGGCACGCTTGCTTGGACCCATCCCTAGCAGAAAGTCGGTCACAACGTCGGTATCTTGCAGTCCGTTTTCGTCATCCAAATATGCAAGACCCCCAGTCCTCCTTTTGTGCAGGTGCCATCTGAATCTGCCCCGCCGACGCCAACTGAGACATCTGAGACGCTTGCCTTTCAAGTCCTATGACCCACCCTGACCCCCAATCTCGGTTTTAAGGTTTTGGGATTAGGGTTTAGGGTTTAGGGTGCCCAAGAGAAACCTTCGCTGTTCTTGAAGGCTGAGCCCGGACCACCCAACCCTCAGCCAAGTGCTGAGGGGAATGCTTGGAGGTTCATGGTACCTAGAACGTAGGGTTTAGGTTTGTCTTTGTTGGCTGGCATGGTTTCCACGCACATTCGGGTGTAGGGCTTAGGCTTTAGAGGGCTTTTACCTCTGTGAGTCAGAGGGGCTTAGGGCTTCAGGATTCTTTTGAGGGATCTTGGGTGTATCAAATCTTTGGAGGAGGTCGATTGTGCGTTTGCTTCCAGGCATGGTTAGGTCGTGGTTGTGGAACTCTATGGGCCTATAGGCCGCAGTGCCTAATTCAGCACCCTCAAGCCGACCTGGAGGTTCATGGTACTTCCTAACCCACTTAGAGCTGTCCTTATAGCCCACTTACAAGCCCCTAAAAAAGTGCTCTAATGTGGTTCTAATTGGGCTACAAGTACGCTTACAACTGGGTTATTAAGCACCTTGAAGCTTCTAGGGAACCTCCTTGCCTACTGGAGTATCATTAAGACACTGATCACAGACATCCCCCACAGGGCGCCAGCACAAGCGGGTGGCTTGGATGCAACTGGCGCGTGGCACTTTGGCACATGGAAAAGCCACGTGCTTGGAGGATTGAGGAATGCAGCTGTCTTTCCAGCGATTCTGCACAGGTCTTGAAGGTCTGTCTCTCTCTCTCTCTCTTTCTCCCTCCCTCCCTCCCCTTCTCATCCGTGACGTTGCTCATAAACGAAAGCATGCGCTGTGCGGTCTAACTGTTAAGTGCTACGTATGGGTCATTCTTGCTGGAAAGCCTTGTTTTCGGTTCAGCTCGTCCCCCTCCGTCCCTCGGCGCCCGGCATCATGAATGCGGTGGTGTTGAACAGCCAGGAGTTTGGGGCGATTTGGCTTCTTAGGCTCACGCCACGGATCGCCCAGTGTACGCCTGAACCAGGAGAAGCTGTTCGATGCTGTGGCGGCTATCAATGAGGTGGCCGATGAACTGACCCGCCGGCTGCAAACTGTCGAGTGCCCCTTGTCCCGGCGTCTGCCTTCTTGAAGGTCCATGGGTAGCTATCAGTAGGATTGTAAGTACACGTAGGATTGTAAGTACACTACATAGCCCACTTATCACTACCCATGAACCTCCAAGTTGTGGCTTAGCATGTTTCGGGTTGCAGGCAGAGGGCCTGGTGGCCTGCAGTTGTCATACTGCCAGGGCTTTTTGGGGGTACCGAAAAAACTAAACCCTAATGTTACCATCAGCTAGGCGGGTGGCACAAGAAAGTACACCCAAACAGTGTCAAAGAGCACTCCAATCTTTGCACCGAGGGAGCATGCGCATATGTGACCAGGGCGGGAATGAAATTTCGAGCCCCGAGACAAATGCAACAATCCTGTGGCGAAGAGCCAGAAAGGGTTTAGGGTTGATAGGGCCTAGGGTTTAGGGTTTATAGGGTTTAGGGTTGAAGACTCGATTCTACAGTGCAAGGGACTGAGGCGGGAGCGGGCTTTGGAATTCGGAGCGAGCAGGGACGTAGGCGAGAGCGCGACGTGTCACGTGTTAAGCGCTTGGAAGTTCATGGTGCTTAATAGCCCAATTACAGCTGCACTTATAGCCCAACTAAACGCACATGAGGGCACTTCAGGGGCTAAGAAGTAGGTTTAAAGTACAGTCACAAATGGGTTATTAATTGCGTACCATGTCCCCCCAAGTGTGGACTCAACCACGACCTGCCTGAATACCACGGGCCACGGCTCTCCGCACCACCTCAACCAGGTCCTCCCTACGCCTGAATGTTGGAACCCCATTGTGTTGCTACATTGCTGCTTGGATCCCTAAACCCTAACCCCTAAACCCTAAACCCTAAACCCTAAACATGTCGAGAGACGGCCGGGACGCTGAGGCACCGATAATGTGGACTTGTCGGATGGCCACAACGTGGCACCTCGGGTGTTGCATGCGATCTCGGATTGTCGTGGGGCAAAGTCGGGCATATCGGCTGTGGTAGTTGCTCACGCCCCCTCCCCCCCCCCCCCAAGCTCCCCCCCACTGTTCTGAAGTTCTGCCAATTCCGTTGCCTCCCCAGCTCTCCCAATTTCAACCAGGCAGGCTCCGCAAGTGATCAAACTTTACTAGCCAGCCAAGGCACAGATTGTGCAGGGAGTTGGCTTTATGGTGCTCGCCATGTGGCTGATCTTCGCAAACAACTCCAAGGTCGCCGTGGCGCAGAAAGCACCGCTGGAGCAGCGCCACAATATCTGTGCCACCATCAGCACTGCTGTGGCCCTCTTTTCCGGCTTCTTCAACATCCTGCAGCTCACTGCAATCGACGACTTTGACTTGCCCGGCCGTGCGAACAACTTCACCCTCAACTTGTCCAGACCTATCGAGTGGATCCTGACATGCCCCATCATGCAGTTGAAGTTGGTCGTGTTGGCAGGCAGGGCTGAGTTTGGCTCTTTTTTGCAGCACTGATGTCCCGTCATGCAACGCAACGCTGCAAAAAAGCTCAAGTTATGTGATGGTCCTGGCAGGCTCCCGTGTGCCAAGCTACAGGCGCTTCATGATGCCCCTCATCTCCGTGTCCGTCCTCTTGTGTGGCACCGCCTCGATGTTCACAGGCGATGCCCTGCGCTTTGCTTGGTACGGCTTCGGTCTATGCCTGGCCAGCATCATGTTCTTCCACAATGCCCTTCAGATTAAGGAGAACAGCGAGGGTGAGGAGTCGCTTTTCCATGGTGACTCCGACTACCGCAAGCTCTCGATCCTCTTGATCGTCACCTGGTTCCCTTTCCCGATGTGGTTCAGCCTGAGTGTGGAGGGCTTCGGCGTAATCACTGACCCTTTCCTCATCGAAATGGGTTGGGTCGTGCTGAACATCGTTTCGAAGTTCACTTTCATCATCTGGATGCAGCGCATGAAGATGGTCCACCAGCGCAAGATCGAGTCTGCGCGCGAGCTGTATGGCCTCTCCCCTTCGGACGAGATGATCCTTGGACAAACGCCCCTGTGTCCCAAGCACCAAGCATATCAAGCTCGTCGTTCCGAAGCCCCAAAGCCCCAAAGCCCCAAAGCCCCAAAGCACCAAACCCTAAACCCTAAACTCTAGACCCTAGACCCTAAACCCCAAACCCTAACCTCCTTCAGGACTGAAGAGGACCTCAAGAAGCGGGCCGCCACCTCGGGCATTTCCGGTGGTATCAACCCTGAGAACTACGGCCTTGGTCAAGGTGGGCGGTTTAGGGTTTAGGGTTAGTTTAGGGTTTAGGGTTTAGGGTTTAGGGTTTAGGGTTTAGAGCTGATGCCCTGAGTCTGGGTTCCAAAGGGTTTAGGGTCGCGAGGGTTTGGGGTTCAGAGTTGGAAGAGTGCTTGTTTCCATCCAGGCATGTCAGAGAGCTCGTGGTTGAAACATGTTTTTTTTTTTTTTTCCGGCTTTCGGGTGGATTAGGGACGAGTGAGGCTTTGGGTTTGATATAGGGCTGTCAAACAAATATTTCAATTTCGCAAACGGAATCGGACAGATCAGACAAGACAAGAGACCCTCGAAAGACCCCTAAACCCTAAACCCTACGCCCCACACCCCCAAGAAAGGATCCTCCGTTTCTGAATTTTTAGAGAAAACGACCTAAACGAAGCCCGAAACCCTAAACCCTAAAAGGGATCCTCGGTTGTTGAAGTTTAGAGCAGTTTCAGGCGAGGAGGCCGACAGTGAGCTCAAGCTCCCCAGCTGCTGAGGATTTCAGGTTTAGGGTTTCGGGTTTAGGGTCAGTACTGTAAGGTTCGGGGGTTTAGTAATAGGGTTGGGATGTTGAGGCCTTAGAAGGCGGTCGTAGAGTTTCAAGATTTTGGGTACCTTCTGACTTTAGCCACATCAATATACGACATGGGGCGAGGTGGTATGAGGATTGGTAGCCAACCCAACCCCACAAAAAGGGTGCCCTCATCAGAATATGGTTGCGGGGCTACTAAGGAGGTGTTGGGTGTTGTCAAGGCTTTCAACTGCTGTGGCCCTCAGCGTAAGCAAGGCCGTCGGCAGCGGAATAAGAAGAATGCTAACCCTAAACCCAACACTACTATATATTGCTTGAAACACTGGGCAAGCATTGCGAACTTGGAGATAAGCTTACACCTTCTTGCGCAGGGCTGCAGGGCTTCAGCCTTCTGAGTTCAAGCCTTATGTGTTCGTACCCAACGTCCGAAAACCCGCAAGCTTTGGGGTTCTGTAGACAAGCTCAGTTGGATACTTTGAGTCGTGGACCATGTGTACGATCCTTCTCAAACCGCCCTTTTGGAAACCGCATAAATAGGTATAATTTAGACCAGACTTGGGAACTTCCCCTCACGGAAACTGTCTTTGAGGTTGGCGGAGCTGGTGGCAGAAACCCTGGTGACTCTTGGGATGAGCAGCCACACGGATCGCATGCTCAGGCTCATGGTCGACGCTGGCTCTTGATATGATGCTGCGGGGGTTGGGGGAGGGGGTGTCGAAATTTGGGGGGCGAAAATGGTACCCTAAACTTTGGGAGTAAGACCAGTCACAGCCTAGAACTGGAGCAGCCCGAAACTGCACAGTGCAGGTGGCGACAAAGACTTGAAGTAGCTCTAGAGATCAAAGCCCGACTAGCCTAACTTCACAGCCGGTCATTTCTGGAAGTGGTCCAGTCTTTTCTGGCGAGGCCCCTGTTCTCTGAAAAAAGGGACCGGAAACCCTGGAAACCCAACAGTACGTGCTAACCGTAAAAGAAACAGCCCAACCCCCGACATCCCCCCGATAATCACGAAAATCAGACCAGGACAACGGCGTCACCAACACAGCCGTGCTCGAGCGCCTGAACCAAGAGCGCTGTATGGAGCTGAACCTGCCCTGGGCGCTGATCCTCGGGACTTCGATTGTTGGGCAGTCGGGTTTAAGGGTTGCGACTCGCGACTCCAGGCCCTTTGTGCAAAAAGGCGATAGGACCCGGTAGGGTTGGGATGGTACAGGTTGATTTTGGCGAATTCCTGCAAAGAGGTGCCACACCTAAACGCGCTCACAAGTTGCATGCCATCCAGGATGCTGAGAGGCTTAGGGGCCCGAACAACGGTGCTAAGGCCTGTACTCCCAAGAAGCCCCAGCAAAAAAAACCCTCATAAGCCCTGAACTTTAGGATATTGGCTCTTCACCCTAAAGCCCCAACCCTACACCTTAAGCTGCTTCGACGACTTTGGGTTGGGATGTTCCCCCTTATACTAACAGTCCTTAACAGGGATTGTACTCGGGGGGTCCTATCATCCCCATTAAGGACTGCTAGTATAAGGGGGAGCATCCCAAGCTTAATTGGGTTTATAGGTATGCCCTCAGGATCGAATCCACCCAGCGCCGGTGGACGGCCGAGAAGATGAACATGGGCCAGGACATCCGGGTTTTCGGGTTTAGGGTTTAGGGTTTGGGGTTTAGGGTTTAGGGTTTGGGGTTTAGGATTTAGGGGATGGGGGGGGGAGGGGTACTTTGCGCATACACAACTGAGCTGCACAAAGAGTTCGTATAAGGTGCAAAATGTAAGTAAAACATAGAAGTGATATGACAGAACGATCTAAAAGCCCTGGTTATGATGACAGTTACAAATGTCATAAAGGACCTAAAGCAGAACCCTGGCGCAGGACAAGGGCGGGTCTATCGAGAAGGAGGATCCTTTCAAGAAGCTCCTAGACGCCAACAAGGAGGGGAGGGGGATTTATGGACCCTACTTGGAGGTTCAGGGTACTTAGAACTGCACTTCGAAGCCCCCTAAGTCCTCCAAGTAGGTTAGAAGTAGATTTATCATTGTCCAACTTGAACCTGCCGGGCAACCATCTTATGCACTGTTTGAGAAGCGCTCAGAAGCCTTGGGGGGGGGGTTGGTTTTGCTTGATTGCTTCGGGCCTTGGACCAGTCTGGCGTGATGGAAACATCACGAGCCGCCCCATCTGCGTTGGGGTGTGTAGACTTGAGGAACAATGTCAGCAAGGAGCACAGAGCCAACTGGGAATCCCAACTGGCCGACGTTAGAAATCACACGCCACTTGACTATACTCGCACATTGCAGTGGAGCCTGAAAGCACGGAGCCGTCCTCCAAATGCTTGCCTGCGAAGATGAAGCGCCTCCCGAGGCCTACGGAATCTGTGCGGGCGCAGGGTTCAAGCGATTAGAGCCCCTGTAGATGTCACCCACCCCAACTCCCCCCAACACCACCAAAGAAAATGAAAGCAAAGCCGATGGGAAGCAAGGGCTCCAAGGGTGCCCATCAATCAAATCAGGGTTCAGGGTTCAGGGTTCAGGGTTTAGGGTTTAGGGTTTAGGGTTTTGGGAATCAGAACAAGAACGAGGCAATTTTCAATGACGGTGACAATCGCTCGAGGCAGGTGAGAGACAACGCCTTGAACTCCCCAAAAACTCTGGCAGGAGCGCATGACGGGCAAGAACCTCATGAACGCCCTCCCGGGCATGCCAGGCATCAACACCCCTCCGGTGGCAGGGGCTGGAGGCACAACTTGGTGAACATGGAAGATTTAATACAAGTTTTAGACAAGTATGGTCACCATGAGGCTCATTGGTTGGTCAGAGTAAGGTCAGAAGTTACAAGTAGTACCTGGCTCTAGGCTAACATTTGGTGCAGTTCCACTGACAAGGATGGCCCTTTCAAGTAACCTTAAAACCCTTCGACAGCCTAAAGCGCCTGAACACCATGCCTTGACTCGACTTCTCTCTCCTCTTAAACCGATAAAGGGTGCTTCTCTAGATTTAGGCCGTTTTGAAGCTCAGGTTTGGGGGCCTATAGGCGTCTTGATGCTATTTGGTGCAAGAACCCCATACAGAAACGGAAGCCCAGAAGCCTGCAGGCTTCGTCATGGACTTCAACGGCTTGGAAGATCAGCTCTTCTCAGTAGCCCGGCCTTGTACGCCTGAGGTGTGTTGATAGGGTTCTTCAAGTGGAAGAAGAGTTGCAAGTCGGAGGCACAGTCTTCTCGCCTGTGCCCCTATAGAAGCGTTTATGGTTTTTAAGGAACTTCGAACACTGATCCGCAGACCCTACACCCACCAGATCCCCGTCTTCCGGCCGGCAACAGGTGGTGAACAGAGCGCTTGTGCCGCTCCAGGACATGGTCATGCTCCGGCTGCAAGCCATGGAGGACCTTTCCGGGCTAAAGAAGCGAAGGCTTGTTGTTTAGGGTTCAGTCCGGCTCGCTGCAGGACAACTTGCAGCGTCAGCTCGAGAGCTCACAAGAAGCCATTTCTCAACGAATGGACTTCTCGCAAATCTCGCTGCTCCAGACCGTCAACGCCTGTCAGGCCGGGCAAAGGGGTAAGAGACCTTGGGGAGGTGCTTTTTGGTCGGTGGCGCAAGTAAGACATACATGAGAACACTAGGTCATGGGTTTTCACGCATGACATCTGACATCATTTGGGCTAAGCATGCCCCCTGTCTGATACGCATAAAGCTCATAAAGCCTTTCCTGTGTGACCCGAGAGTCGGAAATGCAGTTGGTGCTTTGAAGTGCAGCAGCTCTGAACAGCCGGGTTTGCGAGCGCTGCCATAGCTTGATCTTCGGTGAGGGGAGTCGAGGGGTTTTCGACCGTGGGTGACTTGTGCATACGCAGCACCTTTGATTGCGAACGCCAGAAGACAGGTCAGAGCTCCAGAGGCTGGACCCGATGAGTTTCGATCTAACGCCTGATGGTTTGAGCGAGCATTAAAAATCCTTGCGTTGCTCGTCAGTGCTTCTGCTGCACTTGCTTCAGCTACCTCACCCTACGATGACTCAACACATTTGCAGCGTACCACGCTTTGTGGTGGACCTCGACAAACCACCGAACGAACGCTGGGCACACATTGTCGACCCATACGCGCAGCAGCTGCGGGCGGTGCTCAAGCAAGTGGATGACCATATCGAGCAGCTGAACAGCACCGCAACAAGCGTCGCAGCGTCACTGGTGTCGTCGGTGTTGAGTGGGGCTGCGTCCATGAACCGGGTTATGTACAAGGACGAGCTCGCTGCAATAGCCAAGCAGGCAGACGTCCCACTGGGGAAGTTAGTTGCTATGCAGCTTGTGTACGAGGCGTCGGCGCACTGCACTTCTGTCGTGCTGCCGTACGACGATGCAAACCTCTCAATGGCCAGCGCGGCAGTTGGTGAGCCGGACGACCACGCCACAGCGCCGCTGCTGCCTGCACACATCCGCACGATGGACTGGGAGATGGAGTTTCTGCGGCCGCTCACGGTGGAGGTCATGTTCTTGCAGCATGGCGCACCGCAGTTCCTGTGCACCACGTGGGTCGGTTATGTCGGTGTGCTGACAGGTATGACTGTGCGGCACATGAACAGGCCCGCTGATCAGCTGCGCCTGATGAAGCAGAACCCGGCATCTCTTGACGCACATGCATGGAAGATTGGGGAGAGAGGCCGGCCCCCAGCTCCCGCATCCCCTCAGGTGGATGCCTTCGAGAATTACAGTGTGTCGGTGAACTTCCGGGCTCCTGGCACAGGTAGTTTCTGGACCAATTTGATGAACGCCCTGGACAGCTACTGGCCCGTTGGATTTCTCGTCCGCTACGTGTTGTCGCAGAGCGACGTGCCCTTCGAGTCGGCAGTTCGGGTGCTGCGCACGTCGAAACTGATCGCGCCGTGCTATCTCACAGTGTGTGGCAGCGCTGCACCAGGGCGTGGTGCGCTTATTACCCGAGACCACGAATCGGAGCTGCAGCCATGGAACCTCAGCGACAAGGGAATCATAGTCCAACCCAACATGGACCACTGGTCCGACAAGGATGAGGAAGACATCATGATGTCCATGACACGACGCTGCAACATGCGCTTGCTCGCGCGCGACGTTGTGAAACAGCGGTTGCGAACAACGGCAGGTTTGGCCGGTTCTGCAGTGCCACCAGCTGGTATCGCCACGGAGGCATTGGCCCGCCTGGCTGCTGGTTGCAGCGAGCAAGATCGTGCTGCATGCGATGCAGCTTTGCTGCTCGACGACGACCCGCTGTGGACAGTGTTATCGGCCGCGCCCATCTGCAACGAGATCACCATCTACGGCTGCGTGATGCATCCAGCCACGGGGCGTTTCGAAACGAGGCTGCCTGCGAGGCCTGAGCTTCAAGCCCATGGCATTTTGGGATTTCATCGCGAGGCGAGACTCGCGAGACTCGCGAATGGTGTCAGGCAGGCCGCCAATCCAGCGACCAGTGCGGCGTTCCTCCGCTGCAAGTGTTGTCATCAGTTTTTCGATCCGGCTTTGAACAGCTCTGGGCAGTGCGGTCATCGCGGCAAGTGGCACACTACCTTTGAGGACTGCAGCTACGTCAGGTGCGGATATGGCCTTGGTGTGAGTAAGATAGGCCTTCAGCATTGGAGCTGCTGCTTCTCGACCGATGAGGAGTCCGTGTGTCCCGCGTCGCCCCCTCATCAAGCCGAGTGAGCGAAAAGACGTGAGAATTCATTGTCAATTCAGGCCTCTACCAGAGCACACAGCATCGGAGCAATGTACAATCCGAGATGAAGGCTTAGACCTTTGCCATGTGCCATGTAGCTCCACGCTTCTTCCAACGTAATGGTCTTGGGAGTGCCGAAGAAGCCGAGCAACCCCAGCACAGCCCCAATGAATAAATCAAGACTTTTCGGAAACCCAAAGGCCCCCGAAGCCTCGTGCCCAAAACCCTGAAGAGCGCTTAAGCGCGCCGGAAGGTGCTGTTGCAGAAGCTGGACTCATCCCAGGAGACCTGGAAGACTGAGAGAGGGTTTAGGGTTTAGGTTTTCGTCTGACTTCAGGAGTCTGGGTTCAAAAAGGAGAGAGGGTTCATCGTTACATGTCGTTTCACGAGCCGTCATGCGGCTTCAGGGCAGCAAGGACAGATCTGACATATCTGACGAGCAGTTCCTTCTAAGTATCAGCTTAAGCCGCCTATCTTGCCGTGTAGGTGATTGGCTTTCAACCTTGAAATGTCTTGAGTAGATCTGAACAAGTTGGTCCTGCGGCAGGAGTCCGTCATGCAGAAGATGGACTCGCAGAAAGCGGTGGTGGACCAGATGGTCAGCTCCTATGCTGGGCTGGTGAAGAACATCGACGGCGCCAGTGACAGCACGAAGCGCGCCCTGCTTGACACCGTGAACACCTCCTCCGACGTCCCTTACTGCTGGTTAATTAGTAGGGAATGGGGGAAGGTGTATATATGTATATATATACACCCTTTAAGGGATTACATCGGGGGATATAGGATCAACAGTGAGGTCCTGCTTCAGAAGCTGGATGCCACGCAGCAGGACATGGTAACTTGAGATAGATGCCACACCGGCTATACCCGTCACTTCTGCTGCAACCCCAAACCCTAAAGCTCATATATAACCTATCGAGACCGCAGGACTTGCTGAAGCAGAGCAACGACTCTCACACCGTGCTCCAGACTGTGGCCCAGGCTCAGACAAGCTTGGCCAAGAAGGTGGGGGCTGTGTGCAAGGGTTTAGGGTTTAGGGTTTAGGGTAAGTTACTTACTGGTGGTTAGTAGGGAAAGGGGCTTATGAGGTATACCCTCTATCATCCCTCATAAAGGGTACATATGCGGCTGCGAAGTTGCTACTATTTGCTTAAGAACCCCCCCAAAAATAGAGGATGTTATTCCGAAGTTATTCCTTATACTATAAGGACAAAATCGGGATTGTTATTTTATCTTGTTTGGGGGTTTCCTGAGCAAATAGTGGGTTGGGGACCTGCGGTTGCTTTGTCGTGTGCCTTTAGGATTCCGTCTCGTCGGTGTAGCATGGGTTTACTGTTGACCCGTGCGTTGACTTGCTGGATCTTCTTCGTTAAGAAACGACAACAACAGACGGCAGATTACAAGGTGGATTCGGGCAACGAGTTCACGCAGCGGCGCTTGGTGGAGATGGAGAGCTCTATCGGAAGCAAGGTGGACTCGGTCGGCAATGCGATGCGCGAGGCCCAGGCAGCAAACACCGAAAAGGTCATCCATTCCACCCGCGACGACTTGGCCACCCTCGCGACACAAGGCAATGCCATGCTGGATGCTGCAGAGAAGTCCGCTGCAGAGCAGGAGCAGCGTATGTCTGATGTCCGGCGCCAGAACCTGATGATTTTGGACTTGCTCACCAACGCCCAGCAGACCATGCAGGGCAGTGCCGAGTCCCTCGAGAGTTTCACACGCTCCGAGATCATGCGGGACTCCGCAGCAAACATCGAGATGCAGATCCGCGACGTCATCATGCAGCAGATGGGCAAGTTGCAGGCGGCGTTCCTTGGTGATGACGACGAGGGAGGCAGCGGCAGTTCCTTCAAGGCGGCTGTGACATCCATGGTCATGCGGCTTGAGGACGCTCATGTCCAACGTGATGTGCATGGCCCCCCTACCTTTTCAACCCTAACCCCCCCCCCCCCCTCCCCCAAACCCTAAGACCTAAACCCTAAACCCCCCCCCCCCCTCCAAGACAAAGCCAAGGCAGAGCCAAGGCAAAGTAGCTTGAACCCCGAAGGAGAGTGCAGGGCGCCTCGAGACCGCGTCCTCACCGGCAGAGACCGGCCAGGACCAGATTCAAGTCGTCGAAAACCTGCGGCAGGAGCCGGGATTCCAGATGGCGGATCTGTTAAGTAAAACAGAAAGCACAGCCGCAATCACTGAACTGCATCAGTTCGACCCGAACTCGGACCCTAACTGTTCAACTCTAGGAACTGGCAGCTTTGGCCACGGCTTTGTCGCAGCAGCAGAACGAGGCTACACAACAGAGCCTCACCCATGTCAGCGAGGCCCTGCGTGCAGAATTGTTGCCACTGAAGGACCGGAAATGGGGTTTCTCGGGGTTAGAATAGGATCAGGTTTGTTTACAAGTTCGCCTCCAAGCGCCCAGCCTCGCGATCCAGAACTCTGAGTACTCTTGAAGCCCCTGGCTTCCCTTGAGGACTCCCAGACGCAGGTTACAGGCGTACTGACGGAGAAGGTTGCAGAGCTCCAGGACTCCCTGGTGCAGAATTTGGCCAAGTTTGAGACCGGCTTGGACAAAGTCCTGCAGACTGTTGAGGCATCCGCCAAGCCTTCAAGTCCGGAGAAGCGCAGCTCTCGCGCAGCCGACCGTGGGTCATCTTGAATAGGAGGGGGTACGGAGCTGCATATTTTCCAGGAGTCGGGAGCGTTTCGTTTTCGAGCTCCGGCGCCGTGCTCCAATCATTCTACATTTTGAAGTTCGGGCCTTTTAGGTTGTTCGGCTACCTCCGAGCAACCCTATGAGGCCCCTGCTCTCTGGCAGTCCGGGGTGTAACCCGCGATAAACCCTAAACCCTAAACCCTAAACCCTAAACCCTAAACCCTAAACCCTAAACCCTAAACCCTAAACCCTAAACCGTGCTGCAGGAACTTGGGGTTTCAAGTGGAGGCATTGTATCCAGCGAGATAGCCTCGGACTGCATTCAGAGTGAAGGCATTTGCCTGAGCTGCAGCGAAATAGCTGCGCTGTACCGCTAATGGTGTTTCTGCAGAGGTGCACACCGAATTCACCTGCACGGCGAAGGTTGTGTTTCGAAGTGAGGGGGGGCGGCATTCAGATGTATGGGCATCCGAGGGGTAGCCGCCCCGAGTCTAAAGTGAAGCACAGCCATAGTGGTGTTTAAGCCATGGCATCTTCCTGAAGCCAAGATGCTGCAGCTGAGTGCCCATGTGCTGCGATGACTGGCGGGTTCGTTGCTTTCGCGTCCTTGATTGCTGGTTCTTCCACTTTAGTTTTGGGCTTAGGGCTCTTCACTAGGTCACTCGGTTCCCAGCAGACAAGCCTCCCTGATGTGTCGCCCGCTAAGAGGGTTAGGGCGGAAAGAGTTCAACTACATGTTACATGATGCATCGTGTCGAGTGCCGCATGTGTATCTGGAACATATACGGTACCGCGCAGTACCGAGTGCAAGCATTACACACCACCATGTTTGGCCTGTAGTCCTGCATACTGAACCTTCATGTTCAGTCGAGTGCTTCCTATATGAGCCAGGCATGTGGGCTTCAGCGCAGCTTGCCGCAAAATGCGTCAGCTTGCCGTCGGCTCTCACGAACTGTACAAATGATGACATTGAACCTGGTGAATCCACGGGCTTTGTGGCATCCCCTTGAAGGGGAGCTTTTGAGCCTGCGTGCATGCATGCCAGGCGTGAGGGTCATGACGGCCTAGCTGCATCAAGGCGGCAGCCGAAGTCTTTGATGGTACGCTGGAAGCCACACACTGCAAGCAATTTGGCCCTTGGCAAGCCAGGCTTGGCTTGGGCTTGAGCCTATGTGGACTTGAGGTTGAGAAGTCGGTGCTCAGTTCTAACTCGGAAAGACATCAACCCCAAGCCAGTTGCCTGTTCCGCGGCCACATCCCATTTGCTTATTTGCTTTTCCGGTGCACGCAGCCAAGTGCTACGGTCTCGGCTTGAGGCCACCATGAAAGGGCTCGTCGTCACTGCCGGTGGGCGGGGGATGATAATGCAATGAGTATGATCTGAAGCAGGATAAGCCCTAGAGGCCCTAGATGGCGTTTGTCATCGTCGGTTCTCGAATTCAGGGCTTCGTTCTTCTCCCCGTTTCGTGCTATTCGCAACACGCCTCATACGAAGCCCCGAAGCGCTGAACCTTCGGCACAGTCGAGCAAGGTTGCAAGAACAAACCCTGAAGAGACCCCGAAACAGCCCTAAAGAGCCACCAAGATCCAGCCGCCACGCTCATCATCCCCGAGTTCAAGGCTGGCGCTTCTCCATGTTTTGAGGGTTTGGGGGGTTTAGGGCTTAGGAGGGCTCAAGGTCTTTGCGGGTTGGTAGCAACAGAGGTGCAGGGTGAAAAGGGGTTTGGGGGGGGCGGGGGGACTGATGAGTTCTTGACAGCAGCAACTTGTGCCTTCGAGGGCCCAAGGCCGCTTGCTGAAGTAGGGCCTTGTCAGGAACAGTCCTTTCTATATCCCCCTTGGGAATTATTTTTGTGTTTATTTATATAAAACCCAAGAGGACATCTAAGATATTATCTTTATTAAGGTTCTAAGGGGAGTATAGCTTTTGGCTCCCCTTTTTACAAGGGTGCCGGGTGCGCTTTGGGAGCTGAGCTTTAAGTGAGTTGGAAGGCTTTTTGTCTCTGAGAGGGTTGCCGGAACGCATTCTCCTCCTGGCCAGGAATGTCCCCCAGAAAGCCGTTGAAACCCCCCCTCGAATAGGATGTTGCTAGTGCCCAGCGAGTAATTCTCTGGGCTGGCAGTCTTGGGCTGCATGGCCTTCGAGGTTGCTCCGGGCTCCTCGTGGTTGTTGGGCTCGCGCATGCTGCAGCATCCGCGATGGCTTCCGGCTGGCTTCGCGGGCTTGCAGGCAGGCCTCTTCAACGAGAGCGCCGGAAGGCAGCTCGGAGCATACTGGCCCGGGCAAGCGGAGGACTTTGGAAGGGCATAGCGTGCTTGTGGCAGTCGCTGCCTACTGATGTGCTGCCGGCTCTTTCGGTTTCCGCAGCCGGCTCCCGCACTTGCGCCGTGGACCGGGAGACCGGCGCATTGATCTGCTGGGAGGAAACAGATGCCTCGGAATACGACGTGCCTTCAGAGTTGGGCCCCGTGCTGTCTGTGTCTGCAGGTACAGGCCACTTCTGCACCCTCACAGCACTTGGGCAAGTGCTTTGTTTTGGCGCCAATGATCATCTTCAGTGCAGTGTGCCGGCAGACCTGGGCAAGGTGGTGTCAGTAGCCGTTGGTGACCTCCATACCTGCGTGGTTCGACACACTGGGCAACTTGTATGCTTTGGGTGGAACGGGTGCGGCCAGTGCGACGTGCCCAAAGGTCTCGGATCGGTCGTATCTGTCTCAGCTGGAGCTCAGCATACCTGCGCGGTGACATCGACAGGAAAGCTGGTGTGTTTCGGCGGGACTGACGAGGTAGGCCAATGCCGTATTCCACCTGATCTAGGTCCAGTTACCTTCGTGTCTGCGTCTGGACTCCACACGTGTGCTCTTGCAGCCGACTTGAGGTTGAAATGCTTCGGATGGAACGGCCATGGTCAGTGCAACGTGCCTGCGGATTTAGGGCCTGTCGCAGTTGTTGCCGCAGGTGGGCTGCACACTTGTGCTATCACGGTCCGTGCGCGGTTGGTATGCTTCGGGTGGAACGAATATGGCCAGTGTGATGTCCCGGAAGATTTAGGACCAGTGGTCTCTGTGGCGGCGGGTGGTGGACATACTTGTGCTTTGACTGTCAGCGGGCAACTGGTCTGCTTCGGCCTGGTTTCGGACCACAACACGCGATGGCCACGTCTGCCGCAAGTGTAATGAGTGTAGAAACCAAGACAGACAATTCAGGAAAAGTGGCGATCATGAAAGAGCTTGCCCTTTGGGGTGAATCGCGCAGCTGAAAGTCCAAGGCCCCTGAAACCCTCAAGCCTTAGTCCTACCTTAAATATCCTCAAACAGTCTCAAGCCCTAGACCCCTCTAAATCCCTCTCACCCCCCCCCTAAAAAGCCGCCCCCGCAATAGGAATCCTTCAAGCCAGGCACCTCAGGTGGCTACCAAGTCCAAGGGCGTGGAGAGCTTGTCCACGGCCAGGGCAGATGCGCAGCTTCTCGGCTGCAAAGTAAACCCACGCATAAGCACATGGAGACGGCCATGACGGCCCAGCACAATATCACTTAAAAAGAACGCTTTTTTTGCCCGGAAGAGAGTCTTGCATAATTGACTACATGTTACATGCACAAGAAGTATACAGTTATACACAACATGTGATCACCTCTTGCTTGTGTATGGTTGCACGCTTGCAATTGCCAAGGTTGGACCTGGCACAAGCCATGGAGGCCGGACGGTGATGCATTGAGGGACTACGGTTTAGGGTAACCAATTGACAGTTTCTGTGCACTGGTGCGGCTGTGTGTGTGCGAGGCGTTGATTGAGGGTCCATGAAGCTCCACCCCACCCCACCCCCCCCACCCCCCCCAAAAAAAAAACAAAAAAAAAGAAAAGAGGACCAAAACCTACAAACCCTCGCAAAGCCCTAATAAAAGCAAACCCTAGCAACCCCAAACCCCTCGACCTCAAGGACCATGATGAGTCGCGTCTTCGGCGGGCACTGGCTGTGGCGGAGAACTTAGAAGTGGCGCCGGAGGTGCCGGAGCAGCTTAAGTTAGGGGTTGTTAGATTTTAAGCTCAACTCTTCTCCTCGCCCGGAACTCTTCTCCTCGCCCGGTCTACTCCTCGCGCATCCCTTGAGTGCCCAACCCCAAAGTGTCCCTGCAGTGCCCAAGTCTAGAGTGCCCAACCCCAGAGTTTTTCTGGAGTGCCCAGCCCCAGAGTCTCCCGCCCTGGAGTGCCCAACCCCAGAGTCTTCCTGGAATGCCCAACCCTAGAGTGTCCCCAGAGTATTCCTGGAGTGCCCAACCCCAGAGTATCTGTACCAAGAGAGGGTGGGGATGTTCGAAGTAAAAATAATTTATTCAAGTACCGTCAATATCCAAGTACCTTCTGGTTAGGACAGGGCCCTGGTTGGTTTAGCAGGCGGGCGGCTAGGGACACTTGCCTGGACTCCAAAGAGGTCTTAACCAGCGTCGTGGTAGTTCGTTTTTCATTGCGTTCAGCGCGGGTGGGAGTGTGAACATGCTGCTCTGGGGAAGAGAAATCTTGGAGACAGCCGGCGGCACCGAAGTCTCGTCTGGCTTGCTCGCGGAGAGGAGATTGCCGCGGCGCGGCGCATGCTTGAGTTCGAGGTCAACAAAGTCCTTCTGGCGGCTGCTCGGCCCACAGGATGAGAGTCAAGTTTGGCTTGGAGCTTGCGGATCTGGGAGGCTTTCAGGAGTTTCCATGCTTTCCGGGCTCTGCATCTTATATGAACAGTCCTTATTATGGATCATCGTACTCCCTATTGCAATCCCGGACAATCCCTGTTAGGGACTTCTACCTCCCTAAACCTATGTTTTCTTGTACGGAAAGTTCCTGAACCTGGAAGCCCCTGGCGCATCTCAGCCAAGGACGCCAAGCAGATGCGCTCCTCCATCCGCCAGCTCGCCCAGCGCGTGGCGCAGGCGGAGCTCCGAAAGCCTGAGGCGGCCTGTTGCGGGATCACTTGGAGGTTCATGGCTAGTTATGAGTAGGGTTGTAAGTACCGCTAATAAGGTTAGAGCCAGTTATAAGTATAGTGACCCTACTTCTCACCCCACATAGAGAACTACCCATGAACCTCCAAGCAGGGTTTGGTCCTGAGGGCCCAGGGTTTATTGGCAAAGCAGCTGGCTAGCCTCCTCATGCGCTGCAAGAAGCCAAGCCTCATCCTGAAACAGAAGGCCTTCAAGGAAGGAAGAAGGAGCTGAAGTACTCCTGACGCAAAGCCCTATAGGTTCTTTCCTCTGCTTCAATGTCGAAGACGAGTTTCCTAGAAGTATGAGTCTTGTCCCGGTTTTGCAAGCCGCGTGGTCAAGGTCCAGGCCCCTGCAGCTCCCCCACGGTTCTCCAAACTTGCGGAGCTGCTGGAGAAGCGTGTTTGGAGCAGTCGCCGGGCAATGCTTCAGGAGGGCTGTTTTTGGCTACCCGAGAGCCGAGACAAGATCCATAACACAAGAAGCAGGAAGTTGGCTCTTAAGGCGGATGTTGGGATGTTCCCCCTAATACTAACAGTCCTTAATAGGGACTCTAACAGGGGGCACGATAATCCCTATGAAGGACTGTTACTTGTAGTATATAAGGGGGAACATCCCCAGGTGGATGTTTGGAGGCCTGTGTTTCTCTGCATGTTTAGGGTTTGGGGTTCCTTGGCAGCAATGAGACCAGGTGCAGAAAGGCGTTTTGGTGCTTTTAATGGGTGCCTTGAGCTTGTAGCTGTTGGGTTTATAGGGTGTAGGGGCAGTTGTGCATCTTGCTCAATGGAGTGGTTGCCTTAAGCTACCCCCAAAAGACCATATCTCATAGTCTTCCTAGGAATCTCGCGTCATGTTTCAAGCAAAGATCAACGGACTACTTAAACATACTCGAAACCTCGGTTTTCGTTATGGGTACAGCATTCTTGCACAAAGGGCTGCGAGCTCGGAGACGCCAAATTGTCAAGCACCCATTAGGGTTGGGGGTTCAACGGTTTCGGGCTTAGGGGTAACGGTCGGGATGTCTCGGACATTCTGGCTGAAACGGCCCCAAGCCTATACAAAAAAGCCAACCATGGTTTGGCATCATGAGCTCCATCGCCTACTTGGAGGTTCATGGGTAGTTTTAAGTGGGGGTATAAGTAGGGTAAGTATGCTTACAACTGGTTATAACCTTATGTAGGGTACTTATTCCCATACTTATCACTACCCATTATCTTGGACGTTCTTTCAACACCCTTCCACTCAAAATCTCTTCCTGCCCCGGTTCGTGCACCCCTTTCAGGTCTCGAGCCCAAGATTTCGAGTATTGTCTCCAGCTGGGAACCCGGAGCGGCGTTTGAAGCGCTCGTCCAGGGTTGAAGGTTGCAAGTTGGGACGTTTTGCTCGGGGCTTTCGATTGAAGAGCGCCACGATTATTTATGGTGGAGGCTTGGGTTCAGGGTTTGTTAACTTCTTCGGGTGCCCGGCGCAGGTTTCGCAGCTGGCGGCGTTTCCCCCCCCCCCCCAGAACAGGGCCCAGAAGCAGGCGGAAGCACGCAGGTCCCCACAGAGTTAGCTTGTCAGGCTGCTCTGGCTTCTTGAAAGCTCTATGCCTGCTATTGTACGGTCACGTAGTGTCATGCAACGTAGCCATGCAGTGTGAAGTCTTGGTTTCCCACCCACTTACCTATGCAGTATGACCCTTAATACGATATGGGGGTTTCCGAATTTAGGGGTACTTTCTCCTTATGAAAAAAGGGAATCCTACTATTTGGGGGGTTTATATTATGCGTACCCTAATTTTCGTAAACCCCCATTTTGCGCAAGCAGCTGGCAAAGAAGAGCCCAGGTGCAGTGGCGAAAGCGACCGCTCGCATGGACAAAGCCGAGGGGTGGCCCAGCACTCAAGTCAGACCCTAAACTCTGTAGACCTAAACACGAAACCCTAAACCCTAAACCCAGTCCTATGTCAGGGACCAGGTTCCTGAGCTTCTATAGGTAAAGCCAGAAGCACCAAACCCAAGACAGTACACGTCCTACTGCAGAAAGCCCACGTGACCATGTCAGACACAGTCCTTCGAAAACGGTTTGGGCTTAGGGCTTAGGGTTTAGGACTGTCTGAAAAATGCCTCTCCTCAACCCAAGATTCGAACCCATCATCAAAGCACGGAGAACACCCTGTCCTAAACGCCCCAACCCCCTCGGCAGTCTGCCACTACCCCTGCGAAGGCGACAACTAGTAACTAGTACCAAAGCCGACTTTTACATGCAGAACCGCTTTTGGTCCCTTTGAACATTGCTGCCCGCCCACTGGGAAGAAATTCGTTGTGCCCGGATGAATGCAAAACCTTTAGACCCTCAACCTACATCTCTAGATGACCAGGAGCGGGAGACCCTCTCCTGCTGTAACCTTTGAAGACATCGACACCGACAAGGATGGCTTCATCTCCCGTGAGGCGGATCGGGGCCTCTTTCTGCGCGCGTAGTTTCACGAGGCTTTCGAACGCTTGGGTTGTTGCCAGCCTGAGCTTCTGACGCGGAGTTGGCAGAATCCCTCCCCCCACAAGCCTCGACCTGCCCAACGGAGCTGACAGAGAGCTTCACCGAGAGAGGGAGAGAGGGAGAGAGAGAGAGAGACACACACACACACACACACACACACAGAGAGACACAGACACAGAGACAGAGAAGAACAAAATGATGGAGATCCAGACGAGCTTCTGACAAACGGGGACGTATAGAGGCCCACAGAAGCCGGTGCTGCATGGCGTGACACGGCATGTCCAGGAGTTCGCAGCCGCGCAGAAGAAAGGCTTGCTCTCTTCGGGGCCGTTGTGCCCAAAGCCGGTCCCTGGCCTTCATAGGGTTTAGGGTTTAGGGTTTAGGGTTTAGGGTTTTTAGCGCCTGTGAGAGAGAGAGAGAGAGAGAGGGTTTAGGGTTCAGGGTTTAGGGTCTCTGAGAGAACACCATTGGAAGAGTGCGCAAACACGCCAGGTACTCCCCTAACGGCACCATAGCTCTCCTGCTTTGAAGATGCTCTTTCGAGGTGCTAACTAGGGAGGCCCAGCCTGTGACCCGGATGCCAGCGCGTGCACCAGTTGTGAGAGTCGAAACCCTGCCAGATAAACCCTAAAAGCCTAAACCTCATAAACCCTAGCCCATATAAACCCGATGCCCACGCAGCTCGCCAGAGGCAACTGCGCCTCCGTGTGCCGCGCCCGCCCCTTCACCTCCGGCACAGGAGGCAGGGGCTTAGGGTAATAAGGCTTTAAGGGGGTCTTTATCGGGGTTTTCCTGCTGCGCGGGTTGGGAAGGGGGTTCCAAACCTGTGCGACTTAGGTCAGCCACAGGTCGATCGTCCGACAGGCCCTCTTCACAGCCATGCAGGGCGCGGCCAAACGCCTCGTGGAGAAGAAGGAGTTTGGAGAGTTGGACACCGACGGTGATGGCATCGTCTCACAGAAAGAGCTCGACTCTGCCCTTGTGGACATGAATGTTGAAGGCACGGACGCAGAGCAAGCAAAGCAGGAGATACTGCAGCATGTGGACAAGGACGGTGATGGCATCATCTCGCGCGCCGAATTTCAAAGTGCAAAAGCCGACGTTTCAAAGGAGTCTGCTCAGACCGATGCCGCCAATGAGCAGTCCGAGAAGAAGCTGGTTGTCCGGAGCATCCTAAGCAGCAGCTACTCCGATGCCGCCAAGCGGCTATTGCAGGCAAAAAACTTCCAGCAGATGGACCAGGCCGGGCCAACACAAAGGGTGAGTTTTTGGAACTGGAAGTTCAATTGTCTTCTGGAGCTCTGCTCAAACACCCCCAATGCCACCCCAAAGCCCTTTAACCATAAGCCATAAGCCACCATAAGCCCAAAGTCTCTTGCCTTGTCTGAGGGCCCGCGATAAGATAGCCCTAAAGACCCTGAAATCCCTTGGCATCCGCAGGACGGGGATGGCAGGGTCACCGAGCAGGAGGCCTGCAACCTGCGTGGTGGTCCTCCTTACTAAGTTTGGGGTCCGGGGTCTAAGGAATCCGTCAGAGGGCTTGAAAGGGGGACCCAAAAAACCATCCATGAACCTTCTTCACTTACTGGTTCGGAGTAGGGAATGGCATATCTGTTTGCGGTCGAGTCAAAGGTCAGCGCGGCGCTTGCGAGCATGGAAGTGCACGGGCAGGAGGCCGTGCAGGCATGCTGGCCGCATCTGCGCATGGCTCCCCCGACTTTTTCGAATTTACCGTGTTGTGCTTGGAAATTTTGTTGCGGGATTTGTGTGATGAAGTCGTCCTGAGCTAGTGCCCCAGTCATTTCAGCCATGTTCTTACCACCGCCCCGAACGCTTTCATATGCTATGCAGCCAGGCTGGCTCCTGCACGAAATTATAGCAGTGATTTATCAGACATCTCGGTTTCGTACGAATTCAACTGACAAAGTCTGTCTCCTGGAGCTTGAGCTTCTACTTTTTGTACCGTCACGCGCCATTTTCGTCGTTCAAAACGTGCGAAGACTCTGCCGTGGAAAAAGCTTGGGGAAACACGCTTGACTCGTAGAGGCTCTTACGATCTTGCAGGGGCACGCTTGCTGCTGAAATGTTGCTGGATAGCGGTGCCGATGGTACTAGAAAGGCAGCGTAGTAAGGCCGCCACAATGCGGCATGTCGGCATATGGGTTGCACATGGTTGCACGGTAGCTGCTGCCGCGCTTCGCATCAACAAGCAATACCAGCCGTGTGTCCAGGAGTGCGGTTCTTTGTGTCTCTGTGTCTCTCTGTGTATCTGTCTGTGCCTGTGTCTGTGTGGGTGCGGGTGTGCGGGCCGAGGCTCTCAATTCTCGGGTCCAAGTCTTTGCCGGGAAGACCATGCTTGCCTAATCTTGTCCCCTGGAGTTCTGACATGCGGAAATATCACGTGCTCCTCAGGCAACAGCTGAGCTGATGCAGCAAGTCGACAAGGACGGCGACGGCACGATCTCCCAGGAGCTTGAAGAAAAAACCTCCTGCTGACAGGCTTTAGCACATGCTTGACCATGCACGAACAGGGCCGAGATGTTGAGGATAAGAAGTGGACAGAGCTACAAACACCCGCTTCCAAGCCGCGAGCGGCGCCCTGCATCGCGCAACGCGAGGAAGAACTGAAGCAGGCCAAGGCGGAGGCTGCAGAGCCCACACCATCGTCCGAAACTGGGACGCAGCATGATGCAGCAAAGTGGAGTTCTAGCGTTTGGGGTTCCTTGAGGTGTTGCAAGAAGCGCAACACGCGGCTTTAGGGCCCCTTTTTTTTGTGATACGGTTAGTGGTGGTGTTTCGATTCGACGTGTCAGAGTTTGGTGTTCTTCCCTCCGCCGATTGCCGGATGCCAGAATTCGAGTCCAGGGTGAGAAGAGCGAGAGATCGCTTACAGGGGGCCCAAGAGGTGCTAGAAACGCCACTGGCCAGAGGGATCAATGGGGTAAAGGCCCCGCTATTGCAAAAGGTATCCAGGTGCTCCAGGTCATGCAGGGTGGTGTGTTGGAGCTCGCCCCATAGGTGTCTTTCAGCTGCCTTGGCCCCCCCTCTTCTTGGCAACTGCCCCCAAACTGGGTTTCGTGCCGGGAAAGAAAGAGGATGGACAGAGAGCCCTTGTGGAAGAGAGGGCGGCGAGAGCGAGAGAGTGAGAGAGCCCCCGGACCGGTCTCCTTCGGGAGACCATACGCGAAGCAAGCAAGCAAGCAAGCAAAACAGTGAGACAGCGCGCATGTGTGTAGCAGGGAGGGGCAGAGGGAGAGGCTTCCACAAGAGCTGGCACCGAAGAGCCGACGGACTGCATATAAGAAGGAAGATTCACTGAGGTCTTACAATCGTTGTTTCCTGCAGGCTGTCGTATGCTCATCCTTCTTTGCCTGCAACCTTTGCAGCATTGTTGTGCTCAAGAAAGAGCGTCCAAGAATAAATACACCTGCCCGCCCGCCCTCGCCCCTAAGTAAGGCCCTAAACCCTGAACCATCCTGAGTCTCAGAGCTGGATTTGTCAACCGTTTGCTTGGAGTCACGGGCTTCCACTTCCACACACTCAGGAGTTGGCTTTAGGTTGCTGTCGCCCAAGTTTGCACGCTTACGCTCGGCTTTCTGTAATGTTGCATGGCAGTGCCGGCAGCCGTGCGAAGCTGCCGTGCGGCACTGGCTGCTTGTGTGCGCCATGGGCATTGGGCCGAAGCGCTTGGTGCTTTGCGCTCCCTGCGCCAACTGGGCTTCCTGGATTCTGCGGTGTTGGAAATGGCCATGCTGAGCTGTGCAAGATCATCCCAATGGGCTCGAACCATATCCCTGCTGGACTTTATGCAGAGGAATCTGAAGTTGACGTCTCGTGCCTTCATTGCTGCAATTTCGGCAGCGGAGCGATGTGGCCGATGGGAGCCAGCCCTGGTCATCCTCCGGGATGCCGAGATCCTGGGCTGTGCCTATAGCCCCCTTGGGAATTATTTTTTTTGTTTATATAAACCCAAGAGAAGATTATTAACAAACAATATCATTTTTATTATAAGGTTCGGAGGGGAGTATAGGTGCAGGCTCGCCCTGCTACAGCGCTGCAGTAGCAGCCTGTGGTCGCCAGGCGATGTGGCAGAGGGCAGTGGGTTTGCTTCTTCGTGCAGTCTCCAAGGGTGCTGTGAATGTGCCCGTCTACAACGCTGTCATGTTCGCAACGGGCAGTGCTGCGAAATGGGAGCATGCCATCCACTGGGTCCATAGGCTGCTGCACAGCAAAGCGAAGTGGAGTCCTCTGAGCTTCGCAACGGTCATTTCGGGGCTTTGTGCAGGTGGGCAGTGGAAGCAGGCGCTCGGGCTGTTTGGCGTGGTGTGCCAGTCCTGGCAAGGAGATGCGCAGCGCGTGGTGCCATGGCTGAGTGTGATGGACGTCTGTGAAGAGGCCCAACAAGCACTCATCCAACAGCGTTGCCTTCAAGCTGGCCTGCAATTCCCGAGGAGGTTGATGACAAACCTACAAAGCCTTGAGACGAAGCAGCAGGCAGTGCTAGCGAACAATCGCCTTGACTCCCTCCGAGGTGATTTCTCCTCGGCTTTGGCTGATCGTCGGATTTTCTCACCTGCTCTTAAGGCGCTGCGGGATCTTTCCACCGAAGATGGCTGTGCTTGCACCGGAATGCGCCGTCAGGAGCCCATGAGACTGATGCGGGATACCCCTCCTGCACTTGGGAGCCGAGCCGTGCGGGAGCTGGCTGCATTCAGGGGGATCTGTGGCGACAACGCTCAGTCTCTGCGGCAGAATTTGCACGTTCAGGTCGTAAAAGACCTGGCGGTGGACGTTTTGGCTTTGGCAGAGGTGGTTCATTTGCGCAGGGTGTGGACCCAGGATGTCATCGCGGCGCTGTCTTATCGCATGCAAGGCCCTGAAGCAGCCCTCTGCTGTCTTGTCGAGCTCGTGCCCAGCGCGCAGCGAAAGAAAAACGTCAGCTTCTCCGGTTTTCCCATCAAACATTCCTCTAAACCCCAAACCCTAAACCCTAAACCGTAAACCCCAAACCCTAAACCCTAAACCCTAAACCCTAAACCTGACTAGTCGTGGCCTGCGGTGACACACACAGCCTCTTCTGCTCAGGAGCCGCAGTCGCTGACGAGAAGTGTGCTGGCCTTGACCTACTCAGATACTTGGTAGCCCAGTGGTACCCTTTTCCCTTTTCTTGAGGGTTTAGGGTTTAGGGTTTAGGGTTAGGGTTTAGGGTTTAGGGTTTAGGGTTTAGGGTTTAGGGTTTAGGGTTTAGGGTTTAGGGTTTAGGGTTTAGGGTTTAGGGTTTAGGGTTTAGGGTTTAGGGTTTAGGGTTTAGGGTTTAGGGTTTAGGGTTTTCTTGAGGTCCCCTTAGAAAGTGACCAACCCCAAAAAGGGTGCCCGTATGATGATATGGCTACTGGGCTGCCAAGGATATTGCCAAACGGCTTCTGGAAGAGAAGACTTTCAAGGAGCTAGACAAGGACCCCACTTGAAGGTGCATGGGTGGTTCTAAGAAGGGTTATCAGGTACCCTAGAAAAGGTTAGAGTTCCAAGAAGGGTGATAAGTACCCTAAGACGTGATATATCTATATATACAAATATATATCATAGTTACCCTACTTACAACCCCACCTATAGCTACCCATGAACCTCCAAGCATTCGCTTGCACCGCCAAGTGCCGACCTGCATGGTGCAGATGCTCTTGGTATCTCTTGGTAGGGTTTAGGGTTGTTTAGAGTTTAGGGTAAGCCTGCTGCAAAAGGGTTTCGGGTTTAGGGTTAAGGGTCAGGGGATGTTCCTGGTGTCCGGCAAGCAGGTGTTCCTTCAACCCGCGAGCACGGGTGCTGCTTAAGAACTTCGAAAGCCTTTCCCAAACTTGACCTTTCTAGGCCTTCGACGAGAGCTTCGTAAGCACTTCGTGTAGGCACTTTGTAAGTAGATTGTCTGGGGTGGGAATTTATGATTTCTGAATACCAGAAACATTCCTGGCTTTGAGTTTCCAACATCCCATTTGTGTTGCCCCGTCAGGTTCCTACAGAGTAGGCCTCGCAACCTTAAACCCTGAGCAGACAGAAAACTGGCGGGGCTTCGACAGTAAGAGGAGCATAGAAGATCGGCAGCCTTCTTCTTTGCGGTGCCTAGCGCCTAGCGCCAGAGACTTCGGTTGAAGAGTTGCCTTGCCCGAAGCCCGATTGCAAAGTCTGCACCCGAAACCACCTGGCAACTCTTGGCAGCCTCAACATGCGCCTGCAGTGGGGGTGGCAAACAAAAACTCTAAACCGAGCCTCTTCAGCCCCCGATAACATCGCAGGATGGCGATGGAGCTGTTACAAAGGAGGAGTTGGATGCGACTCTTGGCACAAGTACCGTGCCACCTGATGCTGGAAAGTGTCTGGTGAATATCCGGGGATCGAGTCACGTGAGATGCCACGAGCAGCATGTGAGACATGGTGGACGACAGTGCGAGCAAGTTGCACCTTAGGAGCCTGGCTGAAATGAACCTCAACAGCGAGGAAGCAGCGAAAGCAAACAAGGAGATCATGGAAATGGTCGACAAGGATTGGCCTGAAATCTTGTGGCCTACGGTTTGCATACCGGACACACTCGTCTCCTTTGATTGTGATTAGCTCGTTTTCGGGGAGGACACAGCCCTAAACCCTAAACCCCTAAGCCCTAAACAGGATGTGCTGACATGTTTGTCTCAGGACGGGGACGGTGTGATCTCCAACGTCGAGCTTTCTCAAGCCAAGGCCGAGATGGCTTCCACTGCGGCCTGAGCACGGCAGGTGCTTTTGCTCCAAGAAGCTCAAACGCAACCTCATCTGACACGTGCCCTCTCTCGAACTTTCGAAAAATGACTGAGGTAGTGAGGCTTCAACTACGATGGGATGTGTCAAGTTTCCGTTGAATTGATAGGCACGAAGCTCTCAGCTTCATGAATGTTACGTAAGCTGGGAGCTTATAGCTGTCCGCTCCCACCCCTGTCTAAACTACCAAGCTCTAAAACCCTAAAAATGTGAAGTGCTGCAGAACCCTACACCTTCCTAAAGAACTCGCATGCTCAAGACCCAGGCTCCCGACGTGATCTGACTTGCAGTGGTGGGTCGGGGAAGCAGAGGAAGTGAGATAGCAAAACGATGCCAGCGACATGTCGCAGATTTTAGACCTCATCTTTGAACTTGGTGCTTTCGGAATGTTTGGGCACAGTCTGTTCATAGCTGTAGAGATCCCCGGCTTGACGTAGAGTTATCAGACGATTTTCCCTCTCCTGTCCCGAAAGGGACGTAGGAGGAGGTGTCGCCATCGCGGCATCGCAGAACGCTGTTCTATGCCTCGACTGCCTCGACTGGTTGGCAGGGATAAGAATGTGCGATCGTGTTTCCCAAGCATGTCCAGGGCACTCTGAAATCATCGAAGGTGTCTCGCTAGGGCTCCAGCTCTCCGGAATGATTGGAGATGGTCTTGGACTTGGGTTTCTTCATGCGCAAGGCTGCTTTCCAGGTGTTCCCTGGTCCCCTAGTCGTGGTGGATGCTGTGAAGGCCACTACTTATATGGCCTTGCTGTGCACCTGTTGTCCCTGTGAACCAGCCAATCAGTGCCGCTTCCTCTCAGCACTTTCACGCGACTGAGACTTGTGAGAGACAATGTTCTTGAAGCCTCGAAAACTAGCACTCAACATCTGGACCTAATTAGAGCTTCTGGCAGAACGACGAAGACACAGGAAAACCTAGTTGGACCCATTTTGCAGCATTCGTTGCCAGTTTCAGTTGACGGTGGCTGCTAGAGAGATTACGTGAGACCCGCGAGCACCGACACCGCCGGGAGCGTGTATGCCTTTATGTAACTGTTAACATTGATGAATGCCGTCGAGTCGTTGAGGAGACCAGGCCAGACTGTCCCAGCTTATGGTGTCTAACGGTCTGACCATATGCATCCAAGCATCTATTGGTCCAAAATCGTCTTTACCTTCTAGAAATGTGGCAGCCCGGTCATCCGGCGTATGTGCTTGCGGATCTCATGCAGCGTAGATAATGCAGTGCAGACATGTACCGGTGGGCAGCACGTCGTCATGTGGTTTTCTGGGGAAGAGGCTTGTGCAAGTGGCTCTCAAGGGTGTTCACACACGCGCACACACACACACACACACACACACACACACACACACACACACACACACACACACACACACACACACGCATACCTGGAGATCTGTTGAGCTGAAGCCAGGGCTCCAAGTTCTTTCGCTTCCAACTTCCAATATGAACCTGAGGGTGTGCCTGCGTTCGGGTTTGGTGTGGAAAGCAGCTGCTCCCTGAAATTGGCTGCTGCGCTGCCATTGGTTCTGCCAGCCTTCCGACATCTCTCGACATCTCGATCCGCTGTTGGCACCATTTCTTCAAACTAATCATATTCCCTGAGGGTCCCTTTATAAGTATACGATTGTCATGACCCCCAAAACCCAATTCTAACTATTAAGGCCCCTACTTGAAGCGGGTGCTGTGTCGAACCGAGTGGCAGCCATTGCAGGCCCCATGTACCAGGTCGCTTGTTTGAACTTTGCTGGACTTCCGCCCATCAAAGGGGGTCGGATAGGCTCTTAAGGGGTTTCTCGCGACTGCTGTACCAGTCAGAAGGTTGATTCTGGCGCTGCCCTCTCATATTGCAAGTTCAGACTCTGGCCAGGAAAAACCGCAGCCACATGCAGCCAGCGGTTCATGTCTCACAGAGTTACAAGCTTGCGAAGCAGCTTGGATTGAACGGTGCACTTGGGCAGTCTAAGGGGCTTCTGCCGGTAGCAGAGAAGTTTACCTTAGCACCTTCATGGCGCGCGCAATGGCTAAAGCTGCAGACATCGGCTTTCACAGACCATCAGATGTTGGCATGGAGAATGTGTGGAAGCGTTTGCAGTGAGACCCCCTTTCCCGCGGGACGCTCCGGTGCCCCTGCCCCCAAAGTGCAGAAGTGCGGTGGAAAAGTAGCGCCAACAGCACACATGTTTCGAAATGGGTTGCCGTGAGACAGTGCCATGTTCTTGAAAAGCACAGTGTAAGAGGATGCTACAAACATTATCCATCCGGCTGTAGGGGGCATCCCACGTCGGAGCACCTGGCTGCAGGCTAACTGGGAAGTTGTGGGTTTCAAACAAAGGCCTACCAAGTTTGGTTCAAGCACCTAGGCGGATTGCAATATAAAGGAGGACGGCGCTTGCCACAGATCACGAAGCTGTGTGAGGGTGTGCAACATCCGTCCCTTTGCAGCAGCATGTGCAGATGCAACAACTTGTGCCTTGGCACCATCACCTCACGCAACCCCTCCCCACCTCATGCCACAGAAGTTCATCAAAACAGCAAGGGATTGTCCAGGAGGGCTTGGGGCAACACGTTGCCTTACAAACGGACCTCTGTAGCGCTCTGCCGACTGGTCCCCCAACCCTGTGCATCTCATCGCGCTTCGGCCATGTCAGCGACAGAGCTGGAGCCTGGACCAGCAAGCGGCGCCCTCTTGCCGGACCCGCTGGCAGGCAGAGCTATAGGTCAGCGTGTGGAATGTAGGGCTTGAAAGGTGTTGTGCGGCTTCACCGCAACGAGTGCTACGTGCTTGTCAAAGTTGTTGTCCGCTAGCTTGGCGTTTGCAGAGAGGAGAGTCCTGGTTGGGTGTATCTGCGTCTACCCGGTGTTGCCCCGGATAGTCTGCGCAGTGTTTCCCCAGATTGTGCCAGTCCTCCTTGGGAAAAAAATCCCAGGCAGACTTGGGCGAGGTGTCAAAAAGAAGGTGGCGTGTGCCGAGCTCTGCCCCCAGAAATAGTATTATTCCGTTATCCCTATAACCCCTTAAAAAAAGCCCTTTACAGGGTTGATTATGGGGATTATAGGGCCTAATAGCCCATCCTGGTGTGTTACGAGCCGGGCAGGCCCGCTTCGCGCGTCACAGCTCTTTGACGAGGCGTTGAAACTGCCGCTTTGCTTGAGTAGCGGCGGGTTGAGGGTTTAGGGTTTAGGGTTTAGGGTTTAGGGTTTAGGGTTGTTCAGGGTAACAGTTGTAGACAGCTTTCTGCTTTCCAAACCGGTAAACTGACATGTCAGTCGCTGATCCAAGCGTCAAAGGCTGCTTCCGCAAGATGAAACGGATGAAGCCAAAACCCTCCTATCCCCTAACCCTTGACCCCTAAACCCTTAACCCCCAAACCCTTAACCCTGGGTGGCAAAAACAAAGCCCTAAAGCCTAAAAACCCTAAACCGCAACCCCTGCTTCTCGGCTTTTTTGGGGAAGGGGGGGGGGGGGGGGTCTTTGGGTTGAGGGCTACCAGACTTGGCAGCCCAGTGGTACCCTTTTCCCTTTTTTGGGGTTCCCTTATAAAAAAACGAACCCCAAAAAGGGTGCCAACCCTAAACCCTTAACCCTTATAAACCCTAAACCCTAAACCCTAAACATATGGTTACTGGGCTACCAAGCAGACTCCAAATGAGGTTACAGGAGCTTCGCGCGGAGAAAGCGCTCACTGGCACCGTCGGCGCTGTTCTGCTCGTCAAGGAACCGGCTGAGTGTTTAGGGTTCAGGGCTTAGGGTTTAGGGTTAGGGTTTAGGGTTTAGGATGTAGGGTTTAGGGTTCAGGGTTCAGGGCTTAGGGTTTATTGTTTGGGTTTTTTTGTTCACTAGGGCACCCAGTAATCCCCTTCTTGTTGTGTTGCGGTTCTTTATGTAAAGTGAATAGTATGGAAAAAGTCAGCCCCTTATTTCGAAGGAGACCTGGGGAACCTAGTTCATGTTCTGCAACAGCACTGGAAATGTCTGGCTAGGCCATTGGGGTGTTTGATATTTTCCCTTGTTGGGTTGAAGAGGAGCATATTCAGGACTATTTTTCTGAGGGTTTAGGGGGCCAACCAAGTTGTTAATTTTGTGATACAGCGTTGCGGGTGCTGTTCTTGTCGTTCCTTCATCTGAGCTGTCTAAAGCTGCTTCTGCGAGCCTATAAAACTACTATAAGACTGGAACACCGTGAGCACAGGACAGGGCTGACGCAGACAGTTTGAACTTGCGCATCGACGAAGCTTATGGCATCCCAGCAGCAAGTTGTCCAAGCAAGTCGAAAAGCTGCCGAAGCCTTACATGGGGCCTAAATTCTGAAGCTCTGCATTTAGGGGGTTGTAGACCTAAAGTCTAAACGCATTTCCCTCCAAAAACAAAAACCAAGATTCCCCCCCACCCCCCCCACCCTCCTGCATCCGAAACCGAGCTAACCCTCAATCTTCTGGCTAAACACCCTAAACACCATAAACCCTAGGAGTCTGGGAGTGCTAGTTGCGTGAGCTGGCTGATCTCCCTGGTGTATCCCGTTTTGGGGCTCGTCCTGCTGGATGGACCCGGGACGTCGAACTGGTCATAGTAGGATGCCAAGTGAGATCGAGAGGGTAGAGTTGGCAGGTCATCTGAAGCGGAGTTGGCTGTCACCCGAAGCCTCAGATCTTTACTTTCTTAAGGATGAAGGAGAGACGAGATGACCTGATGATGAGTTCTGCTGAGTCTAATGGCACGTGCGACGTGTTCTCCATTATGTGCCCTGCCTATCACCAGACCCTAAACCCTAAACCCTGACCTCGAATGCCTGCGAAGTGGCCGGGAGTGTTCAGCCGGGCGGTGGCCCTAAACCCCAAACCCTAAACCCTAAACCCTAACCCCCACCCCCGCCCCCCTCAAACTGCTAACGTGCCCTTGGCAGAGGCATCGCTGGAGAGGCCGAGGCTGACACGAGTGTGGAGCAGGCGTATGCCAGGACCTCAACTCGGGGTTTTGGGGGTTTCAGGGTTTAGGTTTAGGGTTTAGGGGTTTAGGGGTTTAGGGGTTTAGGGGTTTAGGGGTTTAGGGGTTTAGGGGTTTAGGGTCTAGGGTTTAGGGTGGGCTTAGGGTTTTGGGGTTGGAGTCTGGGTTCAAAAAGGGTTTACGGTTGAGGATATGGTAACAAAGCTCGAACTTCCCATCGGGGTATGGAAAAGCTGAAGCGGCAACTTCAAGTACTGGGTTTAGGTGGGTTTCTAGGACCCGGAGTAGGCTCCTATTCCCCCGTTTTAGGGGTTAAGGTTCACCCTTTGAAACCAAACAGGGCACCCTTTTTTTTGTTATTCCCAGGTCCCAGGTGACTCCTGGGTCAAGGTTTAGGGTGGCTCCGACGGCATCAGAGATCCAGGTCTCACCCTCAACCTCAGACCCGTTTTCCCTGCACCCTCTCGATTTCTACAGCCCCTACACCAACACCGATGCCACCCTTGATGGAACTCAGTAGGGTCTAATAGAGGTATAGTAGCAAGCCCGTACACCGAAGCCCCAAGCTCGTTTCTCTCATCGCAATCCCCTAATGCCGACTGACTTCGCACCTTTCATCCCACTGCCTGGAGCCCCAACCCTGCGCGCGCCATGTCGTTCTGTAAATTAGAGAGATCACGGTGCAGCAAGGTCGCTGCTGATGTGGACGGCGTCGTTGCTCGGTTGCGATCAATCCGCTGGCTTGCTCCTTCATTTAGGGTTCACCGCAAGACATGTAGCAACTGCAATCTTTTGAGGGCTTTGCTGACGATGTGCCGCTGCGCTTGAATTCAAGTCTTAACTGCCCTGCAAGAGCAACTTGTCGAGGTTGCAGGCTTGAGGGGCTTGTGGGCGTGTAGGGGGGCATGTGAGAAGAACCGCATTATGGCGAAGTGGGAGATGAATGTTGGAAGGTGATTTTGCGCGTAGCCTCCCCATCAGGATTGAGTTGTAGAAGCATGGCTCGGGAGACTCCATGAAATATAGAGTCCTCTCAAGAAGATGGCGCCCCTGGGCCCAAGCCCCACAGACCGGTCTCAAAACAGGTGGCATTAGGAACGGCGATATAAACAAATATAAACATATACTGCACATACTTGTCTTTTTTACACGTACACATATATATATATATATCTAAATATTTGTATATACAATATATATAATATAATGTAATGTAATATCATATAATATAATATAGAAAATATAATGCATATGTATATATATATATTTATATTTATATATTTGTGTCCCAAAGGTTGAGCAGCTCGAGAAGATGACGCAGGAGACGTTAGCGGTCTGCGTGCTGCCCTCGGCAGAGGAGGCGCCCCGCTTGAAGAATTTGGGATCAAACCCTGGAACCCCTAAACCCTAAACCCTAAACCCTAAACCCGAATCCCCTCACCCTGAAAAATACCCTAAAACCTGAAACCTGAGCAAAGCATCGGGTTGAGTCCTGTTTGAGGTTGCTCGGTCTAGGGCATTTCCCGAGCCGACAGATAAGGGGCGGCCTCATCCTCATTGGAACTCCGGATACTTTCTGGGGTCGGCGTTTTGGCTTCATTTTGGCATTGCTTGCTTGTCTTGGGTTTTTAGGCTGAGGCCCTTCTCTCTCTCTCTTTCTCTCTCTTGCCCTCTTTGTTTTTATCTTTTTCAATCTCTCTCGCGCTCCCGTACCTTTTGGAATGTCCTACCATGATGCCTTCAGGCAACCGCTTTGGCCTACTGCCGGATTGGATTTTCTCCGTTTTCTCCGCTATGCTCGCACAGTCCCCGCATTGCTGTGGCTAGTCGGGTGGCAAAAAAAAACCCGTAATTCTTTTGGGGACCCTCTTATGCTAACAGTCCCTGAAAGGGAACATAAAGAGGGGGTACTGTAATCCCGATGAAGTATAAGGGGGAACATCCCAACCCGCCCTTTGTTGACGCCAAGAGACTATACGGGAGGTAAGAATAATGTATAACCGTACTTCTGTATACATATAAACATCATAAATCTCGGAGCAACAATAATCACAGTAAGCCTTAGGGTTTAGGGTTTCCTTGGTAGGGATTGTAGTACCCCCTCTTAGAACCCCTTCTTCAGGACTGTTAGTATAAGGGGGAACATCCCAAGTAAGCCGAGTAACCCTGCGAAGGAGTTGCAACTGGAACTTCCCTGCGCCACTCTCGCGCGCCTGGAGAGGCCCAGTCTCTTCAAACCTGTTGAAGTTGTCCCCCTTGGGCTTTAGTATGGTTTAGGGTTTGAGGTTTCGGAGGTACCTCCAAAAAGGATTGTTAGTAGCGCATATTTGTGGCTTTGTTTTAATGTTGTGGTATGGCTCCTTATCTTGGCGAGTGTATAAGTTGCGTGTCGCTATCTGCCCGGACACCCTGAGTTGCTGTAGCAGAAACCCTTCCCTGAGGTGTGACGTGTGGTTTGTAAGCCGCCGAGATGCTACCGTTCTTTGCACTTCCGATGGACCACTGCGTGGCTTTGGCAAGCTGGGCTTTGGTCTGCCTTTTTTTGGTTGAACTTAGGAAAACAGAAGATCACTGTCTTTTTTTGTTTATTTACACTGTTTGCGACTATTGTGCTGCTTTCAAACAAAATCCGTTCATTTTTTCATGATTGGTACACCTATAAATCTGCATGCTTAACACACGAATGGTTCTATGTTTGCTCCAAGTTACAAGCCAAGTAAGAACCAACGTTTCAAGACTAGGGGGCTTCGAGCTCTAGGACCGTAGGATTGTGCCGAGCCCAGGCAACAACATCCGTTTCGAGGGCATGGCCTGCAATCTTCCAACCCAGGCGCCTTTTAAGCCCCGCGTAAGCCCTGCGGGCTCTCAGTTGGCAAGCATCTAGCTCGAGCCTGGCACAGCCGCACCTGTGGTGGAGAGTCTGACAAGTTGTTGTAACGGCGAGGAGCAGCAGTTCATTGAGCCCTCCTCACGTATTCTTAGGGGCCCGCAAGCGAATCCCCTAGACCCTAAACCCTAAACCCTAAACCCTAAACCCTAAACCCTAAACCCTAAACCCTAAACCCTAAACCCTGTCCTCATGCAGGCATCGCTGCCCTTGCCCGGCGAGGTGGGGTCGGGAAGGGAGGGTCAAAGCCCAAGGATGTTTCTAGCTGTTGAAGGGATACTATATGATACTATATGATACTATATGATACTATATGATATTAAATGATACTATATGATACTATATGATACTATATGATACTATATGATGCTATATGATGCTATAGAACTCCCCCTAAATCCTCAAACCCTTCAAGCCGGCCCAAGGGTCTATCCGTTGGCAGTCCGCAAGCACCCCAAAACGCTGCAGGAAAACGTACCCAAAACACCCGATCACGACCCTTCACGGTTCAAGAATGACGGAGGTGATCATGGGAGGCGCAGCCGCTGCCACCGGAGCCGGTGTTGCAGCACTGGCACAGGTCGGCATCTCCGGGCACCCCTAAACCCTACACCTACTGGTCCTTGGTGGTCCTTGTGGTACCAGAAGAGAGGTTAGCGGGCGACTCCGTTTGTGTGAGCGGATACTTTAGGGAACTCTAGGCTGTGGGTTTCATCGGAATCAGGGAATTGACATCCCAAAGCCTGATGCACAAGGTTCCCGACAGCAAATTGGGGTTTTCACGCCTCAAGTGCAGAGCTTTATCAACGAAAAATCCCATTGCGCAGTTGCGCGGATCTTCAGTCATTGGGGCTCATTGGGGTTTGCAGCACTTCTCTTACGTGTGCGCTTGACGGCCTCGGGTTTGGACTTCGCTCCATTTCTAGCCTGAGGGGCGCTTGCCGGAGGGTGAGGCGGGGAAACCTGTGGTTGTTCGTGCAGGCTCTTATCTGATGGCTTTCAATTCATGGCCTGCGCTGTAGACTGCCACACTGAGACGGCCCCCCTCCAGGCAGGGACACTGGCGGCCACGACCAACGGCCTCGTGTGCCTTTGCAGCAGGTTGCATCCGTTGTAGCAAGGACCCATGCAGAGAGCCCGAATCCCAGCATTCGCAACGTGGTGGTTTTAGACTTTCGCACGGTGTCGTGCGACTGCATGTGCGTTTAGTTCGAAAGATGCGGCGCGATAGTAACGAAGGCATGCTTTCTTATTTCTCATCACGCAAAGGCATGAAAGTCCTTAGATTGTTAAGCATTCAAGCCTGACACGAAATGAGGATTGTTCTGAAAGGGGTCGGCTCAATGACGCACTAGGAAGTCGAGCGCACTCGGCTCCTGTCACACTTGCGTGCTTGAGTCTCAATCTGGGCCTTTTGCCTCACTGCCCCACCCTCCTGCCCTGAGCTTGGTTTGGACTCACTAGTTTTCTGCGCTCTGTTGCTCCGCGAAGACATCCTAGCGGCAGCTGAAGACAAATGCGTGTGTGTACATACATATGTTTATGTTCTATGTGCGAAGGCGTGCCGTTGTCCATGCTTCGGTCAACATTTAACGACTGCGTAATATGCTGCCACGCACCGTGCGCTTTCGCGAGTTGCCGACGAGTAGGCTGCGGATAAAAAATCGCCATGAACTCTCTTTCTTTGTTTCTTTATCTCTTTCTTTTTTCGTAGCGGCAGAGTCAGACATGAACTCTCAAGCGACAAAGCAAGCACGGCAAAGCTATAAGCAGCTGCGCAATAGCAGAAGTCGTTTATACATATGTACACACATTTCTGTACATATACATGTGTTACATGTGTATAGAGTTATATATTGTATAATCACATATTCAATATGCACATATGCACATATGTATGTACGTACTTGCCAAGTTGCAGCGCGCTTGCTTGCCCAGGTATGCCGTCACCGGTGGGGCGGCAGCTCTCTCCATCGGCGCTGGCTTTGCTGTGGTAGCTGGGCCGTGGACCGCGGTGTTAACTACAAAGGGGCTGTGTAGGGTTTAGGGTTTAGGGTTCCGCCCCCGCCTCAAGCAAGTCGAATGGGCAGCATGTCCTCTATTCGCGTTACGCGTTCAGCCTTCCAAAGGTTTGAGGAATGGGTTGAAATGCAATGACAAAGCAGGGACTCAACAGCAAAAAACAAAGAGTTGCAAGGGATCCGGGAGGACAAAAGGAGGACAATCAACAAGATTGGGCGGGATTCGCAAAGGGAGTGGATTTGGAGTTTGCAGGGTTTAGGGGTGTACTATAGGGGGTCGGAAGAAACACAAATTATCTTCCTACATAGTTATACGATGGTTACCGCCAAAACCCTATTTTAATTCATTATTCAGGCCCCTAACTAAGGCTCCAGGAACCGCCATTCAAGCCCACGAAAGCGGGGTTTGGGGCAACATGTTTCAAAGGAGCCAAATGGGGGTTTTACGAAAATAGGGGTACCCCCTTTATATCCCAATTAGAATAGAATCCCCTTAAAGGGACCCCCATAAAGGGCACCCTTAGTTTTCAGAAGCGCAAATCAGGAAATCCCTCCTGGTGGGAACCGGTTCCAAAGCAATCTGCGGGGATCAAGATATTTTTAACCCCGAGTTGGGAATGCTACAGCCCGAGAAGGTAGGTACCCTGCCGTGTATGACTATTGTAGCCTTGTGGCGGTTCGAGCCCGCAGCGTTGGCAGTACTTGTGACATCTGGACATATCTGGACATATCTGGACATACCCAGAGCAGAAGTGTATCGATGTTCCGGCCCTCCAGACCTGGAGCTACTGACCCTAACCCTACACCAGTTAGAATCCACACCCCCCAAATCCTCGAAACCCCAAGTTCCTGAAGCCCCCTCGCCCACACAAAGCGGGCCTTACAGCTCGCCCCCCTCCCTCCGGTGGTCGGGCCATCTCAGGCAACACTTATGATTGCAGTCTTGCGTGCTAGCTTTTCATGACGTGTGCGTTCCATTTGTTGGTTCTACTACTACTCGTGCGCTCATGAAGTTGACCAAATACGAGCTTGGAGAGAGGTGTTCGTCGGGTGTGGGATGGTGCGCATCTTCCGTCTTGTTCCCTCGAGAACTGTAGCTCAGAGTGCTCCGTTGCTGCCGGGGCCTGCGCTGACAAGCCGGGCATGCAGCTTCGCAAGCCCGTTGCAATAGGGCCAAGAGGGTTCTGGGTTCAAAAAGGGTTTAGGGTATAGGGTTCAGGGTTTAGGATTTAGGGTTTAGGGTTCAGGTTTTTTTCGGGAAAAGGTTACACCTTCTAAACGCCGGCCCAGCGAAGCCATCCCAGGTGGCCTCCGTGGGCGCGGTGGCGGGCCTGGCCTTGGGCTTGCCCTTGGCCATGTGCGCGCAAGGCCCCTGGGTCAGAGTTTTGGGTTGAGGGTTTAGGGTTTCGGGTTAGAGGGTTGTGTGGGGGTGTGATGGGCTTGTTTTGTGTCAGGGTCTTTTTGGGTTCAAGGCTTCCTGCTGGACGAGGGGGCCGGGAGGGGAGGGTTGAAGATTAAGATCTGAGGGGCTACGGCCTTCGGGTGCGGAGCTATTTCAGGCTGGGTGGGCGGCACGCCCAAGGGAGGAGGGCCGCCCCCAAACCCTAAACCCTACACCCTGAACGGTGACGAGAGAGTCAGAAGCCCCAAAGCAAAGAGGCCAGAAGTTGCTTTGCCATGCCGTGCACAACACCTCGACGAGATTCGGCCGTGGAGTTCGAGATGTCTGAGTACTTGGTATTTCTCTTGCTTCTGTCCCCCAACCCTTGTGCTTCGAGAACTTTAAGGTTGAGCATGACGCATGGTCTGTCGTATCGTTGCGGGTACCGACATTCCATCGACTTTGCATGCAACGATCGCCCCAAAGACTGGAGGACGTAGCCATGGTGCAGCATCCGAAGACAAGGCCTGGTCTCAAGCAGGGCCTTCTGGGTTATGGGGGTCTTTGGTTCCCCTAGCCTGGCTGCACCATGCAGAAGATCCTGTGTGAGCGCGGCGAGATCTACGGTACGGCATCAGCCTTTTTGCGGGCCAGGATGTTCTTCTCGAATGAAGGTTGCGGGATGCCAAAGAGCCCAAAAAAAGACTCTGGGAGCCACTAGCTACAACAGCATACCCATTTTCAACTCTGGTGTATGGGCATTAGCCCAATGTGCCGATTGATCTAGGGAATTGTGCCTGCACGTATGACTGGATTCTGTACAGCTACTCAAGTTTCGGGACCTGTATATGTACATGTACATGTGGGCGTCCTTATAAAAATTACTATTGGGGGTCTATATTCGGGGTCCCGTATGTTCGTAAACCCCCGTGTGGCTTCTGAAAGTCTAGGGGCCCAGCCCCAAAGAAACCCTATATCCTCCTCGGGAGCCTTGGGAATTATTTTTGTTTATGTTTATAAAAAAAACACCAGGAGGATATCAAAAATGTTGTTTTGTATTTAGGTTCTAAAGGAAGTATAGAACCTGGGCGCAGGTTGAACTACCGGCGACTTTTGTCTCGGAGGCTGGGCGATGTGAAGACTCTTCTATGGATGGGTTTAGAGAGCAGGTTTCAGAGCTGAAGCTTCATTGTCACTAGGCTTCGACCCTAAACCCTCAACCCTAAACGCTAAACCCTTAACCCTTAACCCTTGGCCCTAAACCCTAAACCCTAAGCCCTAAACCCTAAACCTTCGACAGAACGTTCTAACACCGCGCTCCTTGGGGAGGACGGCTTCGGAGCCTTCGCCCCTGGCAGTGAGGCGTCCAATGCCTGGGACGGCGCCGGGGCAGCAAACGCCTACTTGGTAGGGTTTAGGGTTTAGGGTTTGGGGTTCGGAGTTTGGAGTTTGGGGTTTAGGGTCTGCAAAAAGGGTCTAGGGTTTAGGGTTAGCTGAATGAGTATACTTTACATTTTTTTGGATACTACAGCCCCCTATAGAACTGAAAGCGTGCACTTCTTGGGGGGCTTATGAACTCAGCAACTAAGCCTGTGTGGATTTTGGGGGGTCCTGGTTTCTTAATCCTAAAACAAGGTTGTGTCATTCCATGTGTTTGCAAAGTCCCCCACCATACTTTCCCCACCCATGCCGGAATCGGACTTCTGGGTGCCCTATATCATGTGAGGCGACCCCGAGACCTTCTACGACGCCTTCGGGTGACCTTGGCAGTACCTTTAGTTGGTTCCTTTGTTTTTTTTGGGGCCGTCTTGGTGCAGTTAGAGGCGATGATTGGGAAGCGAGAGAAATATGGACCATATTCTCAAGGGACTAAAGGAGGGACCCTTATAAGGGACCTTAGAGATTATTTAGGGCTTATTTGGGGGTACTTAGGTATATAGGACGGTATATACAGGGGTTATATAGGCTATAGGGCAATAAGATTCAGGGTCCCTTCTAGGGGTCCCTTCTTCTACCCCTTAAGATTCCTTCTTGAATGAGCTTTACAAGCTGTTCAATGCTAGTCTTCCGACTTCGGCTTCTGCGAAGCCGCCATGCAGCTTCTAGGATCATGCAAGAAGGTCACGATCATGGGGCCTCTGGCACAGCCTGAACCTTGCATGTCGCACACCTTCCAGTAACTTCGGTCCCCACAGTGGCTCCCCCAAGACCTCAAACAGAACCCAAGAATCCGAGCACACCGAAGCCCGAAGGCCCTTCTATTCGATTGAACCCCCCACCACCCCCGTCTGAAACGGCGCACACAGCTCAAGTTTAACTACAACACCTGGCAGCCCAAACCAGTTTTGGAGCCCCTAAACCCCAACTAAGCCTTATGGCCACTTGTGGTTGGTTTGTGGCTTTCATTTCAGCCAACTGACACACGGCGACCTCACACAGAGGCATCCTTGCAGCATGTTGCCTGCCGCCCTTGCGACTACTTCGACACAGGAGCTTCACAGCGGCGGACCTTCAATGC